GGATCTAACCCTTTCAAGATTACATTCGACCTCCAATGGAAAATGATCTGACCAGAAAACATCATAATGTATTTTTACGTTTACTACTGTCCGCCACGCGGCCACACTAGTTAAACAATGGTCGAGCCACGAACAGGTACCATGCGCATCGCTAGTGTAAGTATATGATTGAGAGTCAATACCTAGTCTCTCAATGTCCACACATAGCCAATTCTGCTCCGCACAAAAACTTAACATTTCATTTCCAAATAATTTGCCAGGATGAGCATTAAAATCTCCTAACACATATATAGATTCAACATGTTCATTCTCAACTATAGCAGATATTTCACTGAGGCATTCAACAAATTCATATAAATGATCAAGTTCGTTAGTAGGCATATATACACTAAAAAATAGCATAGACCGATCCGCGACACACACTTTGATCGCGACAATACGCTCACTCGCACAGGGGATCACAGACACCGATTGAAATGAATCATTTCTCCATAATAGGCCTACGCCACCGTAAGGACGGCCGCGCAATAACCCACTGCTATTGTCCATCGCTGATTTACCAAAATAAGAAAAGTCTTTGTTTAACAACCCCAGATCAGGTACTTCGGTTGGTAATAACCATGTTTCTTGGAGTGCCATTACATCCACCTTCTTACTCAGTAGCCGTATGCAATCCATAGACCTCTTTAGGCTCATACAGTTGAAGCTCAAATTTTATATGTCTTGTGTTATCTTTATCCATTTTAAGTAATTAATTTTTGTTCATCACTTGTTTTCCCATATTTATTATACTGTACAAACCTGCGGTAAGATACCCCACAAGGCCATAAATTCTCATCCATAAATATCGATAATTTATCCTTAGGTATCATAAACTTGTACCCTCCGTAATCTTTTTTAAATTTCATATTTACTTTCTCTAATTGCACGTCAACACCGGTCTTGCTCATAATATAATTAGAAATATCTTCCGTCATGCAATTAATATCAACATTATATATATAAAACGGTATTCTCGTATTTGCCGCTTTAAATGTATTGTAATGACTATCCGCTTTTCCCGTCATTGCAGTAAATCTGTTCTTATTACGCCTTCGTTGCACCAGGACCCAGTCATCATTTTTGCAAATTTTCCCATTACTCGCACTAGTACTCGAACCTGCTACCTCCGAAGCCCGAGGCGCGCGCGCAGCCGCCTCAGCATATGAGTTGCTGCTAGGCTGACTCACCTCGGTTCTCGCCGGGCGCGATGTTACACGTACAGGCGACACCGCCGATCGCCTACCTCCAGAACCGTTTTCTCCGCTCAGCCGCTCAGTTGGACGCGAAAGTGAGAGGCCACTATGACATGTTACCTTGCGTGCGAGCGAATCAGATGACAGTAAGTGAGCCACCGGGCGTTGAGTCTTTGTGTTGTCAATGCAAGAAGTATGAATGATATCCGTTGAATCGGTTTGAAATTCTTCCGTTGAAATATGCGGAAGACCAACTGGACTACTATTGCAATCAAAACTGTCTTGTAAAATAGCAGCCCCTCTCTTTTTGTTTCCATATATCTCCGAAGTTTGATTTAAAACCATTTCTTTTGTAGCATAGTTTTCTTTTATAAACAACACATTATCTTGCAGTTTAATAATGTCCCTTAACAATCTCGTGGCATCTATATGGTCAAATGTGACCGGGGGAAGACGATGTAAGTCCCTTGCCACAAAAATAGGTACCAAATCAGGGTCTGTTTCTTTGATCACACATAGAATATCTTCCATATCTCGCTTACTTTTTCCTTCACCTTTTCTATGTACCCTTCGAGTTGTAGTTTGTACAGACTCGAAAAGTAATTTTTTCGCCTGTGTGATTTCATCAGTCGTGAACGCAGTAGAACACAGACGAAGTATACTGTCTTCATCCATTACATCAGCTTTATTTTGCACAAAAGCCAATAGCTCACAAATAACTATGTTACAGTTATTACACTTCACGATATCCATATTGATGGACTGACCACGCGGAACACCTGCACGCGCGCGCACAAAGCA